CGGGGGTCTCAATGTTCTGGGCCTGGTCTGTAACCGTTTCCTTTGCCAGATTGGATTAGGTTTAGACCCACATGGAGAAGTACTATAAATACTTCTCATACTCCTCTGTAATCTGTAATCTCCTTGATATAGTGAAACTGACTCTCTCTCGCCCGTGGACGTAGCTAACACACATCGTGTTAGTGAACCACGTAAATCGTGTGTCGTGTTTTTGATTCTCGCTTTCGTATTCTTGCTTTGTCGATTCCTGCAATTTCCCGATCCGTAGCAGCGCATTTATAACAAGTGGTATCAGAGCCGCGGCTGGAAATCAGGCTAGGGTTTTCAATTCAGAAGAATGACGCCGGTGACCATGAAGATCGAAAAGTTCACGGGGAAGAATAGCTTCGCTATATGGCAGATCAAGATGCAGGCTTTATTAAAACAGCAAGGGCTGTGGGGGCCGCTGTATGCGAAACAGAAGAAGGCAGCGGTCGATGACGATGAGTGGAATACCCTTGAGGAGAAGGCCCACTCGACCATCATGCTATCGTTGTCTGATGACGTCATCATTGAAGTCGCTGCTGAGAAGACTGTCGTGGGCTTGTGGTTGAAACTAGAGAGTCTGTACATGACTAAGTCTCTAACCAACAAGCTACATATCAAGCAACGGTTGTTCAGCTTGAGGATGCAAGAAGGTACGCCTTTGAGGGAACATCTCGAACAACTTAACTCTATTTTGCTGGATATGTTTAATATAGATGTTCAAGTTGATGACGAGGATGCTGCCCTAATCCTGCTGGTTTCTTTGCCGAGTTCATATGAGAACTTCGTTGATTCTTTTATTGCTGGTAAAGAAAGCGTGTCATTGGAAGATGTCAGGTCTGCTCTTCATACAAGAGAGATCAGACATAAGGCGTCTTGATCTGGTACAGGTGGTGAGGCATTGGGTTTGGCTGTTACAGGTGGAAAGGGAAAGAAGAAATCTGGTAAAGGGAATTCGAACAAGAATTCCAAGGGTCCCGGTCCACAGCCAGGTGATGCTTGCCACAACTGTAAGGAATTGGGGCATTGGAAGTATACAACTATCCCAAGAGAAGAGGGCAACAGAAGAAACAAGGTTCAGTTGTCGTGGCAGAAGTGGACAATAGTTCTGAAGACGATCTCGCCTTGGCTGTAGATGAGAAGGCACATCGTGAGGATGTGTGGTTTCTGGATACTGCAGCCTCATACCATATGTCTCCGAACAGGGATTGTTTCACAACCTATGAGCAGATAGATGGTGGTAACGTGGTCATGGCTAATGGAGCTGTCTGCAAGGTTGTTGGAATCGGGTCCATAAAGGTTCGGACACATGATGGTTCGTTCTGTACCGTGAATGATGTCAGGCATGTTCCACGAATGACAAAGAACATGATCTCCTTGAGTCTACTCGACAACAAGGGTTTCAGTTTCAAAGGAAAAGGTGGAGTTGTGTATGTCTGCAAAGGTTCAAGGAAGGTGCTGAAGGGCGTGAAGCGTGGGACCTTGTATGCATTACAAGGGTCTGTGTTGTCTGGTTCTGCTGCAGTTGCATCATCTCAGGTTCATCAGGAAGATATGACCACTCTTTGGCACATGAGTGAACGAGGGATGCAAGTTCTGTCAAAGAGGGATCTTCTTTGCGGGCACAAGATGCAGAATTTGGAATTCTGCGAGCATTGTGTGTTTGGGAAGCTACATCGCAGCAAGTTTCCCAAGAAGGGTATCCACCAGACGAAGGGGATACTAGATTACCTCCACTCCGACTGTTGGGGTCCTTCACGAGTTGAATCCATTGGAGGCAGCAGGTATTTTCTGTCTATTATTGATGATTATTCGAGATTTACTTGGATTTTCATGATGAAGCAAAAAAGTGAGGCTTTCACGAAGTTCAAGCAGTGGAAGACATTGGTGGAGAATCAGACCGGGAAGAAGATCAAGAAGCTGCGAACGGACAATGGTCTGGAGTTCTGTAATTCTGAGTTCAACGAATTCTGCAAGGATGAAGGGATTGCCCGTCATCAGACTGTGAGAGATACACCCCAGCAGAATGGCATTGCAGAAAGGATGAACCAGACATTGTTGGAGAGAACACGGTGCATGCTCTCTAATGCTAGACTAGAGAGAAGATTCTGGGCAGAAGCAGTGAACATGGCGTGCTTCCTGATCAACCGTGGACCTCACACAGGTATCGAGTTGAAGACTCCTTATGAAGTGTGGTATGGTAAGCCTGCTGATTACTCTTCACTGAAAGTTTTTGGGTGTCCTGTTTATTATCATGTGGATGAGGGTAAACTGAACCCAAGGGCAAAGAAGGGTGTATTTGTGGGTTACGGAGATGGAGTTAAGGGATTTCGAGTCTGGTCACCTTCTGAGCATCGAGTTATACTCAGTAGAAATGTGATATTTGATGAGAAGTCTATGTCTAACCCATGTTGAAGGTTACTGTTTTTGAAGGTAGCAGGAATGTTGATAAGCATGTGGAGCTGCAAACTCTCATTGAGAGTGAGTTTGAGCGCCAAGGTGGAGAAGATCAACATGATGAGGATGTCTCTGCAGAGCCAGAAACTTCAGAGTCCAGTGCACGAGCTCAACAGTCTATTGCTTCCGGTAGACCGAAGAGAGCGACTGCAGGAGTACCTCCACAGAGGTATGGCTTCGAGGACATGGTGGCGTATTCATTTCAGGTTGCTGAAGAAGTGGATGCAGGAAGCCACAGTCCTATAGAGAAGCAGTTTCGGGTGGTGAAGCTGATCAGTGGCTTGCCGCAATGGGAGATGAGATGGAATCCCATGACAGGAATCAGACATGGGAGATAGTCAAACGACCACAGGGAAGGAAGATTGTTACAAACAAGTGGATCTACAAGAAGAAGGAAGGAATCACTTCTAAAGAGGGCATGAAATTTAAAGCTCGGGTGGTTGCACGAGGCTTCTCGCAGAGGGAAGGAGTTGACTACAATGAGATTTTCTCAGCAGTGGTCAGACATACTTCGATCAGAGTGCTACTAGCAATAGTGGCACATTATGACTTGGAGCTCGAGCAGCTAGACGTGAAGACAGCTTTCCTACATGGAGAGTTGGAGGAAGAAATTTACATGACTCAGCCAGAAGGATTCAAGGTTCTTGGAAAAGAAGACTATGTTTGTAAGCTGAAGAAGTCCTTGTATGGACTTAAGCAGTCTCCGAGGCAGTTGTACAAGAGATTTGACAGTTATATGCTTGAGCTGCGCTTCAGCAGAAGTCCATATGATTGTTGTGTATATCACAGCAAGGCAGAGGATTGTTCAATGATATATCTAGTTCTGTATGTGGATGATATGCTCATAGCTGCGAGGTCAAAGTCTGATATCCAGAAGTTGAAGGGGCTTCTCAGTGCTGAGTTTGAGATGAAGGATTTGGGAGCGGCTCAGAAGATCTTGGGTATGGAGATTTACAGGGACAGGTCGAAGAAGTAGTTTTTCTTGTCACAGAAGAGCTAAATCCAGAAGATACTGTCGAGGTTTGGCATGTCTTCAGCAAAGCCCTTAAATACTCCCAGTGCTTCAAATGTTCATCTATCCTCAGCTTATGCACCGCAGTCAGAGGCTGAGAAGGAGTACATGTCGAGAGTCCCATATGCTAGTGCAGTAGGTAGCTTGATGTACGCTATGGTATGCACTAGACCTGATCTTGCACATGCTGTTAGTGTTGTTAGCAGGTTTATGATACAACCTGGGAAGGAGCATTGGCAGGCTGTGAAGAGGATCTTCCGGTACCTTAAGGGTACACCTGATGTGGGGATTAGCTTCGGAAGTGATACAGAGTACTTGGTGTCTGGGTATTCTGACTCGGACTATGCTGGAGATGTTGACACGAGGAGATCGATGACCGGTTATGTATTCACTCTTGGGAGTACTGTAGTGAGCTGGAAGGCAACTTTGCAGTCGGCAGTCACATTGTCTACCACTGAGGCAGAGTATATGGCGTTGACAGAAGCTGCTAAGGAGGGAATATTGCGACAGTTTGAGTGCAATATGCTTGGCCAAGGATCAAGTCCACCATGAGAGGACTAAGCACATCGACGTGAGGTATCATTTCTTGAGGATAGAGAAGAGGATTAAGGTGAAGAAGGTTGGCACCGAGGATAATCCTGCTGATATGTTCACGAAGCCAGTTCCACATGGCAAGTTCCAACACTGCTTGGACTTGCTGAATGTCTTGAGTGGGTGACTCCGCCCTGCGGGGCATTGATGGCAGGAGAGAGATAGAAGGAGCAGAGTACATATGAGATTTTAGAGGAAGAGGATTCAAGTCAAGGTGGAGATTTGTTGATGTGACTTGAATCGGACTATCAGCCGCTATGACTGGTAATCGGGGGTCTCGCTGTTCTGGGCCTGGTTCGGGTTCTGGGCCTGGTCTGTAACCGTTTCCTTTGCCAGATTGGATTAGGTTTAGATCCACGTGGAGAAGTACTATAAATACTTCTCATACTCCTCTGTAATCTGTAATCTCCTTGATATAGTGAAACTGACTCTCTCTCGCCCGTGGACGTAGCTAACACACATCATGTTAGTGAACCACGTAAATCGTGTGTCGTGTTTTCGATTCTCGCTTTCGTATTCTTGCTTTGTCGATTCCTGCGATTTCCCGATCCGTAGCAGCGCGTTTATAACAAATCACATTATTTTACGTCAACCCGGCTGCCAAGATCTGTGACTGTACCTCCAACAAAAGGGCTCCATATGCCCATTTGATTAAATATAAAGTTGCTTTACGAGAGTGGCAAATTAAAACTAAGTTCAAAGTTAAAATTAAATTCCTTCCCAACTAATAATAACAAACTACGCTTGCTAAGTATAATCGGGTCTGGCAGAAGCTGGGATGCTAGAATCCGAACAGCTTGGTGGATATTAATTTCACCATTTGACCGCAAAAAATGTAGTCGCTGCTAGTTCAGCTTTGCAGTCGTGACCAATTCCTCTTAAATACCAACCAGGGCAAAACCGGTTTCTCAATCATCCGAAGTTCATTCCTATCGAACAACATTCATTCAGCTATTCGAGAAGACACACCACAACCCTAGCTGCTAATTGCTCTCACCCTACACGGATCCCTTGGAAAAGAAGAAAAAAATGGTGGCGACAAGTAAATCCACGCTCCGAGTTTGTTGCATATCGGCAACCATTATCGTCCTCGTCACTATAGCAGCTTTAGTGACGCTAGCGTTGACCGTATTCAAACCACGAGATCCCGACGTCGTTCTCTACCCGGTCGGCCTGTCCAAACTCCAGGTTGACGACTTCATTTCCCAGGACAGCGTGACGAGCGAAATGGTGATGAGCATTCGCAACAGGAACTACGCCAGCTTCGAGTTTGAAAACGCGACGAGCCACATCAAATACGACGCGAAGCTCGTGGGTCGGGTTCCGATCGTGGAAGGCACCGTCCCGGCCAGGTCCGCTTTCAACATCACGGCTCCGGCCGTTTTGAGGGCGAAGAGGCTTAGGGAGAATCCGAATGCGATCAACGATATCGTCGGCGGCAGTCTGAACCTCACGGCGACGGTGACTATGCATGGGAAGATGTCGATGTTGAACCGCTTGATCAAAAAGCGGGGATCCGTCTACACCCAATGTCACATGACGATTTATATCAGTGAGGTCCCCATTCGCGGCGAATCTTGGTGCTGGGCTAAGCTCGAGATGTAATTTATTTTATGGCTCCTTGATTTGTGGATCGGAAATGTATTCTTTCTTTAGTAAATAATAATATAAATTGTTATGGACGGACGTGTACAATTACCGTTTGACTGAAATTAAATAAATATTTGGAAAGTTGTGTCTCTAGCCAAGGTGATAGTTGTTGCTGATGACTTGTGATTGCCCAAAAATATCTATTTGTTTTTTTTTTATTTTATAAAAAATTTATTCGTGTTACCGAGGAAAACAACCAAATACAAAAATTCATATGACCAAAAACAACCAAGAAAGGCAATCGAACCCAATTAAATAAAGGGGTAATGTCTACCTTTTTATCCAAAAAAATTTCAGATTTTTTTATATCATCCAAATCTATTAAAATGTTATTAATTAGCTAAATCTTACGTAATGCATCAAAATATTAGTCATTTTTACGTTTTATCTTTAATTATTTTTTAACTCTTTTCTTAGTTAAAATACTAAAATTTTAGAATGTTGACCTTCCTATGTCTCTTCTAAGTCAATATCATATTGCCAAATCAATATTACTAACAAAATTGCTAACTGAAAACTAACATTTGGTTAATTCTTATAAATTTGGTTGATAAAAAGTATCCGAAAAAGTATTCAATTTGTCGGGAATTTTCAATAACCGTCCTGCCCTAGATTTCTGCTGATTCCGCACCCACGATCTTGTGATTTGTGAATAACCACCTATATATCACCAACAAAGCCCACCAATGTCAAATATCAATCCCTAAGGCTAGCTCCAACCCATGGTGTCAAATTGCTATAAAGCCATATTTGGCTTTTTTTCTTCCTCCAACCCACAAAAAAATGGGAAGCCAAAAATGGGTATTGGGTTTTTGGAAGGCAAATATGGCTGGGTTTTGGGGTGGGGAGTGATATTTGGCTGCCAAAAAGTGGGGAACAGGTCAGCTGGCGGAGATGGGCGCCGGACGCGCGCGTGCGCCCCAGGCGCGCGTCCGGCGCCCATCTCCGCCAGCTGACCTGTTCCCCCTTTTTTTTTTTTCTTTTAACTTTTGTTGGTTGGGAATTTGGGGAGCCAATTTGTTTTGGATTTTTTTCCTCTATTCTCATTGGTGGTTTGTGATTCAATTTGAAATATAAATTTGAAATAATTGATGTAGTGACGAAAAAACGGTCATATTTTAACGGCCATAAAAAAACGGTCATATTTTAGGCCATATTTTTTCTTATATATTACAGCACTCTTCATAGATTTCTCTTCACTCATTCTCAGAGCATAAATCGCATTCTCTCAAAATTCAATTGTTATCGTCTCTCAAAATAGGAATATGACAGGCAAGAGAGGACCTAATTGGCGTCCGAATGAAGATGAAATCTTGTGCAGAGCTTGGGTGTCGATATCAGAAGATGGAGCGGTTGGCACCAACCAGAAGTATACAAGGTTGTGGGAAAGAGTGGCGGCAGAACATCAAAAATGGGATCCTACTACAATTCGTACTGCTGTTGCAATGGAATCCCGAATGAGGATTATTTGCTATCACTGCAATGCTTGGAAGGGAGTTTTGCAAAGAGCACAAAGGCATCAATCGAGTGGCACGAACCAGTTTGATGTGGTATTCTTTCGGACCCTCAACTTGTGTATTTTCTTATTTTTATATGTGTCAATATAAACTTCTCTAACCCATGTATTACATATTTTATTAGGAAAAGGAGGCAAGAGCAATATATAAGCAAGAGAATGGGAACAAGGCTTTTGATTTTGAGCATTGTTTCGAAATTCTCCGAAATTGTCCAAAGTGGTACTCCAATCCTGACCTGCTTGTTAGTCCCATTCCACCTATGGGGCAAGGTTCCCAAAGTTCTCCCACAGGTTTTGGTTCTCAATCATCTCCCGTGGAAGGCCTTGATGACTTACCAGATGAAGGAGCTACGCCTTTCGTGTTGACTCGCCCTGAAGGACGCGACAAACAAAAGGCAACAAAGAAGAAAGGTAAGGTAGTTGCTGAATCGTCAGACATATACACTACTCAACTGCTAGAGTTTGGTAATGATATGAGAGAGAGACAAAAGTCGAGGATGGAGTATGAAAACAGAAAAATGAATGTTCAAGAGAGGAGACTAGAGCAGGAGAAAGAGGAATGGGCATACAAGAGGCAAGTGAGGGAGCGTGAAGCGGAAAAGTGGGCTGTGGAGAAGAAAGAGAGGGAAGCTGCAATACTTCAACAAAATGTAGCTATTCTAGAGAAGTATTTGTCAAAGATGACACCAAGAAAGAAGAGATTTTGGAGGCGTAAACAAAATGACATTTATGGGTACGATCAAGATGATCCCAACTCTTATCCAAGTGATGGCGGAGATGGAGATGGCGATGCAAGTGGTGGAGGAGATGGCGATGAAAGTGGTGGAGGAGATGTCGATTACTTTCCTGTCATGGATTATTAATTAGAAGAAGATCCTATTTGTACTCTATTGTCTTTACATCTTTAATGTGTTGTGTGTTCTCTTTCAACTTTGTTATTTTCATGTGTCATGTGTACTCTTTGAACTTTGAGCAATTCCATGTGTAATAAAAACAAGTGTTATTGAAAGTTTGAAATACAAACACACCAAGCAACATGAAATACAATCACACACTCAAAACTTGAAATACAAACAACCAAGCAGCATGAAATACAATCACACACTGAAACTTGAAATACAAACAACCAAGCAACATGAAATACAAACAATGCTAGATATTGCCGTGCAAATTCCAAAGATGCTCAACCAAGTCATTTCTAAGCGCATGATGTGTTGTAGATGAGCGAAGCCTGTTATTTCTAGCCAAGTAATCAATTAGAGTTGATTGGTGTCGGTTGATTGGTTCAGGTTGTGCATGGATCTCATAATCAAGGTCATCATCCATCTCATCATCAGAATCAACCTGCTCATCCTCGATTATCATGTTGTGTAATATAATGCACGTCAGCATTATATTGTTAAGTGTGACAACATCCCAAGCTCTTGCAGGGCCACGAACAATTGCCCATCTTGTTTGGAGGATTCCAAATGCCCGCTCTACATCTTTGCGGTGTGCTTCTTGATGTTGAGCAAACAAAGCCTCTTTGTTTGACCTTGGATTGCTGAAGGTCTTCACTAAAGTCGACCATGAGGGATAAATACCGTCAGCCAAATAATAACATTGATCATAAGCATGACCATTTACCTCAAATCGTACATGTGGAGCGCTTCCATTGACGATACGATCAAACACTGGAGACATCCCCAGAACATTTATATCGTTGTTCGATCCAGGTGTCCCAAAGAAAGCATGCCATATCCATGTGTTGTAGGAGGCCACCGCCTCCAGAATGATTGTTGGCCTATGCATGTGGCCGGTGTATTGTCCTGCCCAACCACTTGGACAATTCCTCCATTCCCAATGCATGCAGTCAATTGATCCAATCATTCCAGGAAAGCCACGACTTGAGGCTTTACGGAGTAAGATCCTTAAATCAGCAGGAGTAGGTGCGCGAAGGTATGTGGCCCCGTACATGTTGATAATGTTGTTGCAAAACTTTCTGAAGACCTCCATCAAAGTGCTCTCACCCATACGAACATACTCATCAAGTTGATCAGCTGGAGAACCATATGCTAGCATGCGCATCGCACCAGTAAGCTTCTGCTCTGGAGATAGTGACAATTGACCAAAGCTATCACGCCTTAGAGCAAATGAGGGGTCAAACCTCACAATGTCGCCCATAATGCGATGGAATAATCTTGGCTGCATCCGATAGCGCCTTCTGAATATGCGAGCATTGTATACTGGATTTGGATCGAAGTAATCCCTCATAAGACGTCGATTACATTCGACCCTCTCACGATCAATGTGACGTCGGCTGGTAGTTTGACGGCGACTTGATGCACCTTCAGCCAGCCTCCGACCGATCAAACTCAAACGTAGGTGGTGAAACCTTTCGTACTCTTCGTTTTCTTCTTCTCCAGGCGATGAGCTATCTGAGATACTCATGATGAATGTGTTTGTTTTAGAAATGGGAAGAAGTTTTAGTTGAGTTGATGAAAATGAAGAACTGTCATTTATAAAGACATTTGGTGCAAAAAATGACAAAAAAACAGTGGTAAAGTAACGGATACAAAAAAACGGTCATATTTGGAGTGGTCCCGAAGTTTTAACGGTAATATTTTAACGACTAATTTTTGAAAAAAAAATTATCTCGGAATTTAAAAAAAATTACATCGAAAAATTTGTATTCAAAACTAATAACGAGCTATGAAAAAATTAAAGTGAAATATAAAAATTAGAGGTCAAATAAGTATGGTTTATTGAAATAAATTGAAAAAGTGAAATGGGAAGCTAAATTTAGCTTTTTATAGGGTTGGAGTGAAAAGTGGGTTTGGGGAGCTAAAAAGCCATATTTGGCCATTTGGGGAGCTAAATACCCCTTTATGGGTTGGAGTTAGTCTAAGCAAGACACAACCAAATCACATCACGAAAAGCCGACAATTCCACAATTAAGGAAAGGAAAAAAAATTAAGTCGTCATATAACTTTGATTCTGCTACAGTACTACCACTGCATAGGACCCATCTATTGACGCACCATCCACCAAGAGGATCCACTATCTTGTGATTTGTCACTTCCATCTCAAGAAAGCGCTGCCAAATAAATGGCCATATGAGCCTGGGAAAGACCCTCTCGAAGCTTCACTAGACACTCTCCAAAAGACCCAACATCACTCACTCGACAGTGAAAGAAGAGGGGAATGGTTTAGGGTGATTACTTATTTATTAGTAATCACGGTGGCAACCTCTTTATATACCATATGATTAATTATTTTCCCTTCTTTTTTAATCTTATGGTCAAGATTCTTGTAGGGTAATTTTAGAAATTAAAAAGTGACCACACCTGATTATTCTATATAATCTACTCAAATCCTAGTTCTATCCTCCCTCGCAGCCGCCTCCACGTACCACTCCCGTTGCACCGCCGGCAGCAGCCCCGGCCACCCTCGGCCACCGCAGCGGCCTCCCTCCCCTTTGTGGCGGTACTAAGGATAATTTTTTTTTTGCAGAAAAATTGAGAAAAATATAGAAAGGAAATCTGGTTGGAGATTACGGAAGTGAGAGAAAGAGAGAATTTTAATTAATA